CTGCCAAATCAAGATTAGCTGCCCCATGTTGTTCAAAGAGAAGGATGGCGGGTTGAGATTATGTGTTGACTTTAGGGGCGTGAATGCCATGTACGTCAAAAACATGTATCCTCTCCCCCTCATGAAGGACTTATTGAACCACCTGTCGAAAGGCAAGGTATTCACCAAGCTAGATCTCAGGGAAGCTTACCACCGGGTCCGCATCAAAGAGGGAGATGAGTGGAAAACAGAATTTAACTGCCCTTTGGGTAGCTTCCAATTCAAAGTCATGGCTTTTGGACTTCAAGAGGCTCCTGCAGTGTTTATGCAACTCATCAATGAGGTGCTACACCTGCACCTTTATTGGGGGGTCCTCATACACCTGGGTTACATCCTTATCTTCAGCGAGACCATGGAAGAACATGTTCAATTTGTCCGACAAGTCCTAGAAAAACTTCTAGCCGCCAAATTATATGTGAAACTCTCAAAATGAGAATTCCAGAAAGAATCACTGGGTTATTTAGGCTATTGAATATCCAACCTAGCAATTGAAATGGACCCCAGAAAGGTGAAAGCAGTACTGGACTGGCAACCCACCAGAGCCCGAAAAAAACTTCACAGTTTTTTGGGGTTTGCCAACTTCTATAGACAATTCATTCCATCCTTTGCCGAAGTTGCCCTACCATTAATGGAGCTATTAAAAATGGGCCCATCACCCACCAAACTGAAGCCAAATCAGCCCCTGGCTTGGACCATGGACTGTCAGAAAGCTTTCGAGACCTTAAAATGCCTCTTCTCAGCTGAGCCCATCCTCCAGCACCCAGATGCAACCAAGCCTTTTATTGTCCAAACGTATGCGAGTGATGTAGCAGTGGCAGCCATTCTGCTGAAAAAGATTCTCAAAACCGACTGATGCCTTTTGCTTATGTGTCCAAAAAGCTGATGGACACAGAGCGAAGGTGGGTGGTCTGGAGGAAGAAGCACTTGCCGTACGATGGGCTTTATTAACTTGGAGGCATTTCCTAGAAGGACTGCCGGAGCCTTTTGAGATACAGACTGATCATAAAAACCTCGAGGCTCTAAAGACCCCTAGGAGATTATCACCCCAAGAAGTTTTCTGGGCCCAATACTTCAAGCAATTCAACTTCACCATTAAATACACCCCCAGAGGGAAAATATATTGGCGGACATTCTGTCCAGAAAACCTTAGTTTGACAGCCACCGAGAGGAAATAGTACAAGCCTTAATTTCAGGAACTCAATCGGCAGGCCAAGTAACCATTCGAGCCCAAGCCAACCACAACCCCAAAGGCCTGGAAGATCAGGTGACTGCAGAATTGAAAACAGTCCTATTGACTGATCCTTGGTTCCTGGACCATCAAACCGAGTTGACAATGACTGAGGGACTAGCTTGGAAAGGGACTAAGCTTTATGTACCCACAACCATAAGACTACTGGTACTAAAGCATAGCCATGACTCATGGCTGGGAGGCCACTTCCGATTCTTAAAAACTGTACATCTACTGAGAAGACAGTTCTGGTGGCCAAAAATGAAACCTGATGTCGAGGACTATGTAAAAAGTTGCTCAATTTGTGCCAGTACGAAACACAGAACTGGAAAACCCGCTGGCCTCCTTCAACAAGTCGCTGAACCAACCCAACCATGGGAAGAAATCACAATTGACATTATTGTGGAATTGTGAAGGGAATACGAGCATCTGGACTGTAATTGACTTATTCTCTAAACAGGCCCACTTTATAGCCTGTAAAGGACTTCCATCTGCAAAGAAACTTGCAAAGCTGTTCGTGAAACATATCTATAGACTACATGGAGTATCTCATAGAATAACATCAGACAGAGGGGTACAATTTACCACAAAATTTTAGAGGGATTTTTGAAATCCATTGGGTCCTCCCAAGGATTATCCTCAGCTTTCCATCTGGAACGGAGCAGGAGAGAGAGCTAATGCCATGATTGAAAAATATATTAGATGCTAAGTAAATTATCAACAAGAAAATTGGGCTGAGTTATTACCTTTTGCAGAGGTTGCTTACAATAATGCAGTACATAGCAGCATGGGGTTGACTCCATTCCAAATCAACATTGGAACGGACTTTGCCCCAATGCCAGAGTTACCTAGACAACCTCCCACATCCACGTCTCTAACAGAATGGATGAACTCGTTAAAGAAAGGGTAGAAAATTACAAAAAAAGCTTTGACCGAATCTGCAAAACAATATAAAAAACAGGCGGATAAACATAGATCCCTTCAACCGCCCTTTAAAATGGGAGACAAAGTATATTTGTCAACCAAGTATCTTAGGTTGAAACTGCCCAGTAAGAAACTGGGGCCAAAATTCTTGGGTCCATTCCCAATTTCAAAGATAATCAATCCGGTCACTGTCCAACGAATCTTCCTCGGCTATTAGGGAAGATTCATCCAATGTTCCATTGTAGTTTACTTAAACCAGCTACTACATCAATGATAAGACCAGTGCCAATCGCACCCCCTGACCCATTAACAGTACAGGGGGAAACACATTATGAAAGCTTTGATATTATGCCGGTCTCGGAGTTACTGTTTCAAATGAAGGATTTCTGGAAGTCTCACAGAGATTCTGCGCTGACAGATAATCCAAGAGATTTTCGATTGCACGGAAATAGACAGACTCACATCAAAATTAAAAGAGAAGGAAGACTCAGATTATTATTCAGTTTTGGAAAACTGGTATCAATGGATAAATAATAGAAACAAGCAATCTAATAAATAAGGAATGTATAGTTTAGAAAGATAGAGGTGTATGTAGAAGAACAATTAGGAGTATAAAATATGCACTGGAATAACAATTGAAATGTAAGTACTGTCAAAATGGATTGTATAATACACACAACATTATCTTTTTAAATATTTGTATTGTATTTTGTATTTTAATGTTTTAAATTTTCATTAAAGGTTAATTCGGGGGGGGATAGATTTTACAACTAAGGTAGTTCTTGACTTGCAATCGGTCATTTAGTGACCATTTGAAGTTACAACGGCACTGAAAAAAGTGACTTAGGATCATTTCCCACAATTATGACCATTGCAGCAATCCCATTTCAGATTTCCTTTTTCTTAGCTCCACTATTATTTATGTTCTCCTTCAGTATTTTGATGAATACATGTGCATGGAGAGCCCAATTTTGGGATCTTCAGTAAAGTTTAATGTCAGGGAAAAGGCAAAATAAAAACTAAAAAACAGACAACAGACGACACTTTGTCATCTTTCTACTGCTATATTTCTGAAGAGACACACAAGTCAATGCAATTCAGCAAGATTAAATAAAGTAATATAAATAAAACAACAATTCAACAAGATTCAGTTAAGCATCTCTGATTGGACTACCACAAAATGCGGTGACAAAATAATATGCTTTGAAGAGTGGAGTAAATACCTTATTCATATAATTTGGGGGTGAAATTCAAGAGCAAAATCATAGATTTAATCAAAGAATGGTTTTAGGGTAATGCCATATTCATTTTACCTTGAATATCAAGCCAAATAAAACTTTGTCCCTGATATTCTGCAGGGAACTATTGGCTGTTAATTTACAAGTCCAGGATATTCTTCGGCCTAATTTCAAATTCTGGAAGAATTTATTTGTTTGTTTGTTTGTTTGTTTGTTTATTTATTCTTTATTGAAATGAGATCACTGTTTGAGTGCCATTCAGGCTGTTCACAATAAGGATAATCATTGATGTTTAGACTCAACAACAATTTTTCAGGACTATTTTAGCAGAACAAACTGCTCTTTTGCAAATCTAAGGTTTTCATAATTCCTACTTTATCCTTTGTTTCATTCTACGTGTCTATGGCTCCTCTATAGAAATCAGTGGCTCAGCATAAGAAGTGGAGCGGATCTTGTCAGGTGGCGTTTAGGCCTGACTGCAGAGTAAACTTACTTGGGTATTTTGTTTTTCTCCTTCACACTTCACTAGATGGTTATTGCTATTTTCAATTCTCTCTGGGCACAAGGGAGGCCAGGAGGATGCGGGCAGTTCTCTGCTGCAGAGAGAAAGACTTTGGTGTGGTGAAAAAGGCCGGGGAGCCGAGCTCTGACCTGGGCTGGAGGGGGCGTGGGTGTGATGTCCTCAGTGAGGGTGACGCAGTTCCTCCCTTGGGCGTTGAGTTGGAGGATTTACTCAAGAGAAGCTGCAGCTCTTTGTCTCTCTGGGGAAGGAAGACGAGAGTGACGGAGGCCGAGACCAGCTTCCCGGGAGTCCTGAAGAGGAGATGGAGACCATCCCTTGGATGACAGGTTTGGGGTCCCTTTCTTCTTCTACTTCCCATCTCAATCGGACTTGTCTGCTCACTGAAGAGATGATGGCTTTACTCCCAGGTTCTTTTCTTATTCTAGAACTTTCTCAGGAAATCTGAGTTTTCTTCTTCCTCGGGGAGGAAACCTTTGTGCAAAGGGACACTTTCCTGCCTCTTCTCCCCATTTTGTCTGCTCTCAGATGTTGTGATTCAGAGCCATCTCAACTAGAGAGGGTTTGCGGGGATGCAGAGCAGTCTCTCTCTTCCTCCCTTCAGAAGCACCCAGTAGGAGACCCACAATGGCAGCATCACTGTCAATAAAATAGAGAGGAAGTTGGGGCGAAGGATGAAGAGAGGAAGGGGTCATTCTGCAGGTCACGGTGAAGGGCACATTGAGAATAAGGGGCCTCCCTTTTCTCCTTCCTGCTGCTATCAAATGAGTGAGAACTGAGGACATCAGAACAGCTGAACTTTGAAGAGAAAACCCTCCTGGGACCCTGAAGGTCTCAATATCTGCTCCTAATTCCAGCCCTAATAAGGTTTTGGGGGTGCCTGTGACCCACCCACCGCAATAGCCAGAACATGGGTGGGAGAAGACCCCTTCCTCCTCCTCCTTTAGGGCAGCATCTCTTCTACATCCAATCAGGGAAGAAGAAGAAGATGGTAGGGATGAAAGCCTTGCACATGCTGGGGTAATCTCTCCTTCTCGTAACTCTCACCTTCTTTCCTTCTCTCTTTCAGTCCTTTCGTGGATCCTCCTGGAAGCAGGTAAGAGACCCTCATGCAGACTTTATTTGTCTTCACAAAAAACGTAGACTGGGATTATTGCGGCCTCTGAAGGAAGGAGAAGGTCCAATGAAACCGGAAGCCCAAGGAGAGATTCAGAAGGAGAAAGGTCCATCTCTGTGGGTGCAGCTGGTCTGCTGTTCTTTTCCCCTTGGGTTAGTTCAATGGGCGAATCCAGTCCTGGTTGCTTCTTCAGGAAGCATCTGCGGATGGCCATGATCCACCCTGTTGAAGTACCTCCCTTCATGGAGAGACATCGCTGAGTCTCCCTGGAGAGCCAACGCAAGATCATCTAATCTTTGGTTTGGTAAACTTTTTCTCCCCTTTTGTCATACTGAAGAATTAGTCGCCGTTCTTACCAGATAACCCTGAAAATCCTTCTGTCCCTGTCCCTGGTGAGTCTAAGACGGACCCTTCTAGAAACTTCTTCTCCTCCCAATATAAAATGGAGAACGGTCTGCAAAGCAAAGCTAGCAGAAAGGAAGATGGTTGTAAAAGACCAGGGAGGGTTGAAATCTTGTGTAAGAAGAAAAATCCACCTGGTTCCATTCTAAGCCGGGAGAAAAATGTTGGAAATAAAATGGAGGCTGATTAGAAAGAAGGATTCCATTTGAGGATAAGCCAAAGGAACATGTGGTTCTGGGGCAGCTGACAAAATAGCTTGAGGAGGGCAAGGATTTTCTTACAGTTTCTGAGATGCTGCTGAGGGTTGTGCGGTGTCAGAAATGCCCCTGGGGAGTTGTGCAATGTAGTGACCTCTATGACTTTTGTTATTCTAATCGTGTTGGGGTTAATCCTATTATGTCCTAAAGGTCATGTCCTGCTCTTCTTAATCCCATCACTCTGGAGCTGAAGATCTTTTGTTTATGAACAGATTGGTTGAGATATCTTAATGAGCACAACATCTCCATCTCTGAAGACTTCAGGCATCTGCTGGAGGCTGTTTTACTGTGCAGGAAGAGTAGAGTTGCCTTTGAGAACAAGTTTTTCTCCATTGCCCTTATGGGGAAATATAATATTGTACCTCTTTTAATATTCCCCCAAATATTTCATTCTCTAGAAGGGTGGGCGGGCTTCCCACACTTGGATTTTCATTGAAGCCATCAAGGGTAGGAGAAGCTTTCATTTGCAGCGTTAGTTCCTTTTTGTACAACTTCTGTCCTGGTAAGAGGAAACGACGGGTCTAGGATCCTCAGAGCAGATTATGGATGGGATCCATCCTGGGAGTCACAGAGGATGTTCTGGTGTAGAGATTTGGTTCCAGGAGGAGATCCACAGGACAGACCTAATGGCTTCTCTTTCTCTCCTCAGGTTCACAAGCAGATTCATCTCTACCGAGACCCAGGCTGTCCTCGTCTCTCTCAAGCAACTTTATTATTAAAGGAGAAGAGATTCCCTTGAATTGCTCCCTCCCTGAGGGGGTCGAATCAGGGAGTCCTGAGGGACCTCATAGAATAAGGTTCTATTTCTTCTGTAAGGATCAATCCTATAAAACAATTGAAGATGAACATCTCTCTAACAATACCTTCAACCTCAGGACTGAATATCTGAGCTCGGGCCAAATAAAGATAATATGTATATGCAAATTCAAGGAAAAATATTGGAGACAGCCTTATTCTCCCGAAAGTAACCAGCTGGTCTTCTCAGTGGTTGGTAAGATGGAGATGTTATTTTCACCTTAAGCTACAGCAGGAAGTTAGCACCCACACCTCTCTTAGAAAAATGAAATATCATAGGAAATATTAAAAAGGCAGAATGTTTTCCCTAAGAAGAGTAGTAACTCAGAAGTTGAAACTCACCTCAGAAGCAGAAGCTCACCCCCACCCTTGTTAATGGGTGGGCCATTAAAGTCAGCATCAGAATACTTTACATCAGGGGTCCCCAACCACCAGGCCGCGGACTGGTACCGGTCCATGGAACATTTCCTACCGGGCCGCTGGTTTGCTGGGCCCTGCATCTTGTTTGACGAGAAAGTGCTTCCGGGTGAGCTTTTCCAGTTGGAAAGTGGCGTTTGGGTCCTGAAGGAATCCTCGCGCCTTAGTTTCATCGAAGGGGAGGGGGCTTCGAATGAAACTAAGGCACGAGGATTCTTTCAGCACCCAAGGCAAGGCGAGCTGAGCAACTGTCCCGAAGCCGTCCCAAAGTGAAGCCCATCGACAAAGGTACAAAGGAGGAGTTGAAGGTGGCGGGGAGAAGCGGGGGATGGCTGGCTGGCCGGTCGCTCGGCTCGCCTTGCCTTGTCATGTGTGCTGATGCCAGTACCGGGCCGCGGATCATTTTGTGATGCCGGTACCGGGCCGTGGCACAAAAAAGGTTTGGGACCACTGCTTTACATAACAAAGGTCTCCAGTTAAAGCTATAGCAATTGGTCAAAAGCCCTTTCAGTGCATCATCATCCAGCAAGGCTCAACCAAGCCTGGAACTCAGGACAGCCTAGAGAGTTGCCCCTACATGGCCTAATGGGAGTCTGACAACCAGTCAGACATACAAGCTCCAATTCACATCCCAACAGAGGGCATAAAACCCAGGCACTCTCTGCGCCTCAGCCTTTTCTTGATCTTTTCCTTCATCCTTTTCACTCTGGAGCTCCAGGCCTTGTGGTCCTGTCCACCATTAAACCTTCCAAACAGCCTCCATGTTTCCAGTGTCTTTTTTCCCACTTGGAACTCAACCTAGAAGGATTTTTCTTCCAACACTACAGTAAAATTCATTCCCCGTCCTTATTTTCCATTTTAACCTCCATTATCTGAAATATCACTGCTTTGCCTCATAGAAATGGCACCTTAGATTCAAGGAGACACTGTGGATGTTTTGAGGAAACTCCCGTGCTTCAAAGTATTCATTAATATATCTCCCTTGTGAACATTTTGTGCAGATGTCCTCCCTTCCCCGCTGCTGAAAGTGGATCCATTGAACCAGAGGGTAAAGGAAGGTGACCCCTTGGTCTTCTTCTGTTCAATGGAAGGAGGCTCGGCCGAGAAGAGGTTCCATTTCTACAAGGATGGAGTGGAGATCACCTCCAGTGAAGAAGGTCTTCTGGAACCTTCCAGTGAGTCCACAAACCCTCTTCAAAATGCCTATCTGAGAATTCCTCATGCCTCGTTCAACCACAGTGGGGAATTTGCCTGCAGTTATGAAGAGAAGAGAAGCAACCGATGGGTCACGTCTTCTTGGAGCCGGGGGAAGAAGGTCACAGTTGAGCCAGGTAGGAGGAGATCTGGAAGTGGTTGAACCTTGAGATCACCATGAAAGGCTAAACTAGGAAAGGCAAAGAAAGTCCCGGAGAAAAGGAAGTGTCTTTTTGTGGGATTGTTAACTAGCTCCACAGAGAGGTCCATGGAAAATCCAGAAAGTGAGCTTGATTAAAAGGGGTCTGTTTCATTTGCAGATTTAACAGTCTTTTCTATACTATCAGAAAAGAGCAGATTAAGATATTCTGTCAAGAAATACTAAATCATGTTTCTTCTTACTTATTGAAACCAGTTGGTACCCAAGATTCAGATCTTGTATGGAGATATTCCTGGATGGCGATTCCTCTCATAATCCTGCTGGTTCCATTTGCCTTTTATTGCTGGAGGAAGAAGAGCAGTAAGCGAAGTGGTTTTGGGTTCAGGGGTTCCCTTACCTGGGGTCCCAGATGGCTCCTCATGTGGTTGGAGAGGTTGACTGAGAGATTCTTTGGAGAGACAGGAAAGGAGAGCCAGGCCTGAGGGAGAAGGACAAACAATATGTCAGGACGATGGAAATAAGCCATTTTCTTTCTTCCTTTCTTTCTTTTTATTATTATTTCTCCCTTGGAAGCACCAGTATCCCAGGAACGATTTCAGCTCAGGGAAAAGAAAGAGGAAAGAAATGATCTTGCAGTGATGGAGCCTCAAGCAGCAACAGCAGCGACTTCCTCACCTGTCAAGGTAGCTGGTGGGATTCATGGGCGACTTTAATCAGGGTCTGCAGGAGGTCTATTTACACTGGAGAGTGAAACCAAGTTTTATCCCCAGTATTGATGGTGTCACCCAACTGTCATGAAGAGACAGGAATGATGCCGATAGGATTGAGAGCTTCTGAACTTTAACTCTTAACTTTAATCAGGATTTTACTTTCATAAGACCATTTGTCTTGAGCTCTCTGAAAATCTGCTCTAATTTTCTTGATTTACTTGGTTTCAACCAAAGAATTTAGGAATTTTTGGATGACTAGATCTTTCTTTAAAAAATGGGGAAGCAGAATAATTCTCTTTGTGGCCTCCAGCCTAACAAATCATGTTATTGGCCAAGAAATTGAATGGCCCTGAAGCCCACACAAACAGTAATGAATGTTTAAGAAATCCAAACATCTTAGAAGCCATTAAAGATTCCTATCATTAAGTGTTGGGGCAGATTTTTAGGGTATTGTCCCTGTGGGTTTCTCAGGAGCATCTCAAACCATTGGGAATTTGAAATAGGAAACTGGACTGGATCAGATCTGATGCCAAACGTCAATCCTTCTTTTCCTTGATGGGCTGGTAATCTTTCTATGCCATAGGAAACCTATTAAGCTTATTTATTTGCAAAAAAGCTGGAAAATGATGGAGAAATCCCGTGTTTTCAATGGGTTCTTCACTTGCAGGCAGATTGAACAATATTTTCTCATTCCCCTCAGGACTCTGAGGTCTCCTACAGCTGCATCCAGAATTTCTTCATTCCGTCTCCTCCTGGACCAACAAGGAAGAATTGTCTAACACAAGGGGAACAAGAGGGGATTTTGTACAGCGATATTGTGTTTCCACCCAAAAGGAGACAGCAAAATCACCCCTGATTGCAGCAAAATGTGTCTCTCTTGGTGCAGTCTCTCATACGGCCTAAACATGGACGTCACCCTTGAAGAGTTGATGAGGTGCAGCTGAGCTTCAATTTAGGGCGGAAGAGAAAATCCATGAAATAGAGGAAAATCCTGAGCATAATCTTATTCTGTGAGATTGTCAGGGAATTGCACAGCTGGCGTCCAAATGGAGTCAGAGCAGTTGACACAAACTTGTATTTTTATATAAATAAATATATTTTACAACTGTAGGTAGTAGTTGTGTTACATCGGTTCGTTTAGTGACCATTTGAAGTAACAACAGCACTGAGAAAAGTGATTTATGACCGTTTTCCACACTTATGACTGTTAGTCATTTTCATGGTCACTTGATCAAAATTTGGACGCTTGGCAACTGACTCATACTTATGACGGCTGCAGTGTCCTGGGGTCACATGATACCCTTTTGCGACTTTCTGACAAGGAAAGTCAATGGGGAAGCCAGATTCACTTAACAACCTTGTCACTAAATTAACAATAGAAGCCATTCATTTAACAAATGTGGCAAGAAAGGTTGTAAAACAAGGCAAAATTCCCTTAACAAATGTCTCACTTAGCAACAGAAATGTTGGGCTGTATATTGTGGTCGAAAGTTAAGGACTCCCTGGCTATATGGAGCAAAAAAGTTAGTCAGGCTCAGCAGGAGCATCGTGAGGTAAATCATGTTGTGGCCAGAAGAAAAAGGCGGGAAAAAAGGGAAACTCCCCCTCCACACCCACAGCAACCAATCACAGCGCAGATCGCCTCATGCAGGAGCCCTCCCTCTTCAATCAATCAACTATAAACGTGTCTTCTCATTCACTGGAAAACCCAATGGCTCCAGCTACTAAATTTAAATATTTTAAGAGTCTCAGTTCTATCTCAGTGTAGGCGAGCCTGCTGGGAAGATTTCAATTATAATGTCTTCTCTTCATAACATGCTTTTTGATTTGTCTTCTTCAGAATTGGTATTTTCATCTGTAGGGGCAATCTAATTTTTCTCCTACATGATCCAATGGACATTGATTGATTGGTTTGATCTTGACTGCTGAGGTCTTTCAGGGCCATCCTTGTCCATGTTTCAGCCAGAAAGCCACTCATAGAAACAGCCAAAGGAAGAGACCTTGATGTGGATACAGAGAAGGACAGACCTGATGTATCAAACAAACACAGGGAACACAAGATTAGAGACCATATTATACACGGAAGCATCTCTTGAATATGGCAGCTCATAGGAAAGCTGTCAGGCTACAGAACTTTTCCCATTCAATCAACTAGAATGAACTTCTGAAGACGTATCAAAACGTATCAAAAAGAAATCCTTTATTGTGATGAGACAATTCATGTAGGGGTCAAAAGCAGCATCTAAGGTCTCTCAGGCATGCAGAGATAGATAAGGGCGTTTAAAACCCCTCCCTTTATCCTGATGTGTATTTAGTAAAACAAAGAGCCAACATGTTAATTCCCCTCCACCCCCTTTTTAGAACAATCTTTTCCAGAGTTTCCCAGGACACATCTCACTGTGGAATTTTTATGGTCTCTTCATCTCTTGGCTGTCTCTCTCAGAGGTGATAGATTCTGGCCATCTGGGTTTCATCTCTCCATTGCGTCATGTGTAGGTTATACAAACTCGATATAATATTAAATATATTCAGGTTACCTCAAGAAGGATATCTTTATCAGCCTCGCCCCTTTTCTTCTTCCATTGAAGAAATGACAGATACACGGATCTGACATCCTGCCCTCCTTAAAAAAACAGATAGGTCTACCTGAAAAAAAAACAGGATAGCCCTCTTCCAATATCTCAGGGGCTGCCATAAAGAAGAGGGAGCCAAGCTATTCTTCAAAGAACCTGAGGGCAGGACAAGAAGAAATGGGTGGAAGCTAATCAAGGAAAGAAACAGGAATTTCTAAGGGGGAATTTCCTGACAGGGAGAACAATCAGTGGAACAACTTGCCTCCAGAAATTGTGGAAGTTTTTAAGAAGATATTGAATAACCATTTGTCTGAAGTTGGGGTAGGGTTTCCTGTCTAAGCAAGGGGTTGGACTAGAAGACCTCCAAGGTCCCTTCCAACTCTGTTATTCTGTTCTGTTAATTTAGTGTACGAGTTATCAAGATATTTTTATCTCAGTTCTGAACTCAGGGCGGGGTGTTTCTTTTAAAAAGTGTCCCGTTTATATGAAATGAAAAACCAATCTTCTTTTCCCTCAAAATTGACTGGCTTTTAGTCCTGTTTTCAAGGTCTTGCTGCATAGTCCACCATTTTGCTTTTTTTAATAAAAAAAAAAAATCTCCTGCTTCTTTCTTCTTCTCCCCGTTACAAATAGAAATAGAAACTACCAGTTTTGCACAGAGATCTGAGTTGGGGCGGGGAAGGGGGGTTGTATTCCATTCAAGCCACTTTCCTTTCTTTTCTCTTTCAGTTCTTTGGTGGATGAACCTGGGAGCAGGTAAGACCAATGCCTGTGCAGACTTTCTCTGCATCCACACAATGCTAGATTGGGGTGATTGCTGCTTTTGAAGGAGAGAGACGTCGAAATGTAGAAGGAATGGCAGAATCTGGAGGAGGGAGTTAAAAAGGCTATCAGCCTAGAATCCCTACATAGCCACAAGCAAACCTCCCTTGGGTGTTGCTTCTGTGGGCATGGCTTAGGTGGTGGGCGTGGCTTGGTGCTCATGTGACTGGGTGGACATGGCTTGGTGGTCATGTTATTGGCTGGGTGTGGCCAACTCAATATCACTCACATCAAGGCACGCATCTCCTCGCCTGGCCTCTCATGACTGTGGGATGCTGCAACAGTCGTAAGTGTGAAAAATGGTCATAAGTCGCTTTCTTCAGTGCCACTGTAACTTTGAATGATCATTCCACACAAGCAAAGTACCAGTAAAGGAGGGAAAAATAACTCCAGAGAAGTTCCTGAGACAAAAAGTCTCGTCCTGCCAAGAATGTAATAAGGGTTAACAGGCAGTTTCTGTAAGCAACACCAGAATGTTTCCTTCCTGCCCTCCTTACAGGATTAGGCCAGTAATTTCTCCTAACAACTGGTTCTCCCCACTGACTTTGCTTGTCAGAAGTCCGCAAAAGGGGATTGCCTGAGCCCAGGATGCTGCAACTGTCATAAATTCGAGTCAGTTGCCAAATGTCCAGTTTTGATCCCTGGGATGCTGCAATGGTCATAAGTGTGAAACAGCGGTCATAAGTCACTTTTTTCAGTGCTGTTGTAACTTCATCTTTACTAAACGAATGGTTGTAAATCAAGAACCACCTGTAGTTTGCTGGGGAAATTGCGTGTCTAACATTCTTTCCTCCACTCACTCACCCAATTGATATGACCTTATAAAATAGATTGATGTCATAGAATAGAGCTGGAAGGGACCTTGGAGGTCTTCTAGTCCAACCCCCTGCTTAGGCAGGAGACCCTATAGCATTCCAGATAAATGGCTGTCCAGTCTCTTCTTAAAAACCTCCAGTGTTGGAGCACCAGTGGTGGGATTCACTCCTTCTCACTCCGCCCACCTTGACCAGCACCTACAGTCCGGTCTGTGGCACAGCTGCTGCTGCTCTCGGATTTCCTCGGCTGTGGCTCTGCAGCCCAGCTGACCTCTGCCTGGTGAGTCTTCCTCCCTCAGCTGCCTCCCACGCAGCCCAGCCTGCTTGCCTGCCGTTGCTGCAGCCTACCTCATGGGCGACTGGGCATGTGGCTGACACTTGGTGTTAAGTTTGGGAAATGAGAGGCTGAACCAGAGCATGAGTGCAACAATACTTTATTATACAATAAAGGGCTGATCGTGCTTGCCACGCCCGGAACTGGCTCGCAGCAATCAGCAACTGGTTGGACCCCGCAGCCTGCTTTTATAGCTGGCTGCTGGGGAGAACCAACCAATGAGGAAAGGGGGGAGAACGCCCACACAAAGTGAATGGACCTGAGTGAGAACTCCTAGAGTCCTCAGGACATAACACCCCTTCCCCCCAGATGCAAACACGCATAGTCTTTGAGGTAGGCAGGAGGTTTATGTTGGCGCCCGGAACGGCGTAGTTCTGGAACGTCGTCTGTCCGTCCGGGGTCTGCCTGGGAAGGCAGAGTCGGCAAAGTGTCACCAGTGTGCCCCTCGGTTCGGGCATGCCCGGGGCTCGTAGGGTTGATCACTGGGGATGTGCTCCCGTAGACTGGATCGGGCTGGTCAACCGTCTGGGCACCGCTGTCTGTGTTCGGGCTTTCGGGACCGGCTGTAGGTGTGAACTGATCGCCGGGCGTGATGTGGATGTGGGGCTGAGGATGAGTCCTCCCCTCGTCTTGTGACTCTGGGTCCCTGCTGGCGATGGTGCTGAGGCGTCTACGCAGTTGGTCTATGTGCCTTCTCCAGACGCGGCCATCCTCCAGTCTGACCCGATACGACCGCGGCCCAGTGATAGCTACGATCTCGCCCATGATCCACAGGGGGTCTCCAGCGAAGTTCCTCGCGAAAACTGGCTCCTGTAAGATAAAATGTCTAACCCCCGATGTGGAAGCGAGGGGAGAGTCAGGGCAGTATTGTGGGTGTAGTCTGTCCAATACAGTCCTCAGACGCCTGCCCATCAGGAGCTCAGCTGGGGACTTATTGGTGACTGAACAAGGAGTTGAGTGCTGGCTCATCAGGAACCGCGAGAGTTTGTGGTGCCAGTCATCCTTGTTGAACCTTGCCAGGGCTTCTTTAGTGGTCCTGACGGCCCTTTCAGCCAATCCGTTACTGGCAGGATGAAATGGGGCTGTGAAAATGTGGCGGATACCCAGGTTGGCAGCGAAACGGCTGAACTCAGTCGATGCGAACTGTGGGCCATTGTCGGAGACAATGGAGTCGGGTAGCCCGTGCGTTATGAACAGGCGTGTTAACACGTTGGTGATTGCTAGTGTGGTGGTCGTGGATAGCTGTGCTACATCAATCCATTTGGAATAGGCGTCCACGACCACTAGGAACATCTTCCCATGCAGAGGGCCGGCCAGGTCGATGTGAATTTTGGACCAAGGAGCGCTGGCGCTTTCCCATCTAGTAGGGGTGGCAATGGGGGGGAGCAGGACGGGATTCCTGGCAAATGCTGCAGGAACTTACCCAATTGACAATGTCCTCGTCGAGACCCGGCCACCACACGTAGCTGCGTGCTAATGCCTTCATTCTCACGAT